AGTTCAGTGTCAAAAATGTCACCTATGCAAATATTCCTTATAGGTGGTGCTCCCCGAATTCACAGGCATTCTTCAGCCGGCATTAATGTGATTGCACACTGTCACCTTCAGCTCTGCATGTGTTGAGTTATATTTGTACATATGGCAAATGACTTTTGCAACAAGGGTAAACACCTAACATCTCAGATTTGCAGCTGGGGGAATAACTAATTGGGTTAAGAGCTAGGGGATGCTGTGGCTGCCTGAGCAACATTTTGGGATTGGTGCAGGTTCCAGAGGGAGCAGTTTACAGAGCCTGAGGCAAAGTACTGAGACAGGCCTGCAGTGAGTGGAGCTGGAGGGAGTGGTAGAGAGAGGCAAAGTCAGGTTTTGACTGCTAATAGGCATCATCCTCATTGCAGAGCTTGTGAACTTAAAATCTTTCAGTACATGCGACCAGGAAGACTGTACTATAGAATAGTTAAGAAAACATGAGCGTTCACTGAAGAGTGAGAGAAGTGAATTAAATAAGTATTTGCTTCTGTCCACTGAACCAGATTTGCTCAGCTCATATCAAATATGCCTGCTGCCATTCTGCTATTTGAGGGCAGTATTGTGCACCATCAGGCAAATCTGGCAGATAAGAGAATTGATCTCTGGGTTCATAAAATTTCTGATGGGAGTTGTTAAGGGAGGGGGAATGAGCTGAGATGACTGCCAACTGCACTCATCCAATCAACCAGTGAGACCTGCGCTCATTCCCTACTTGTATGTGTGTGTATATATATATATACTTTTTTTTTTTTCTTCTGATGTTTGACACATTTTTGTTATGTTGACAGTGAAAGTAAAACAAGCAAATCTTTTGTGTGCAATGGTTGTAACTTGTGCTGATTTGGAATGACAAACACAGGATTTGCTGGGTACCATGGATTTCCTCTATCAATATCCCCCTAAAAGCAAATACATTTCTGTTGAACAATATTTCCATACTTGAAGCAAGGGTATTTTGTGATCTCTTCTACTGGACTTGCTGTATAGTTGGGAGAGCTGTCAGGTTTGTTGTCAGGCACAAAGCGCCCTTCTTCACCAAAAGCTTGTCCAACGCCTAATAAAAAGATATCGCAAATAACATTGCCCCTCATGCCTTTCCCGGGTCTTCATAGGTACAACAGTATTCCTAGCCTACTTTCCCAACTTTTTATTTCTGATTTTTTTTAATTTATACAAGTTAATGTAAAAGAATTGAAACATTAGAGATCAATGACAACGTCTGCTGAAATCGGCACACTTGACTTCAGCCTTGCCAAGTGGTGGGGGTCTTCTGCTACACTGGCCTTTCTCTCTGGTGACCTAAAAGGCAAGTCTCCGTGCTTTCAGTGGCCCCTTGTTTTGCCAGGGTGGTGTGCGGTTCTTACCACCCTGACAGTTTTAGGCAACGTTGCTTTTATAACCTTTCAAAAATCCTAGCTGCAGCAGACCACCACATTTTACAAAACATGTTGTGGCTATTTCTGTTAAGGAGCAATGCAAAATGAAGGCATGGAGAATTCTTTCAAATGCAGGAGAACCCTAGAAATAGACAGGAAAAAAAACCCTGAGAGATTTTTTTTCTATACATTTCAACTGTCTTCAGTAAGTGAAATGTATTTATGCATGCCACAATTTATTTTTGTTCTTTTCTGAGGATGATAGTGTTCAAGAACACATTCTTGCAGCGGTAGAGAATGCAAATATTTATATCCGTTATTCTCAGCCAGGGTGCTTTGAGACCCAGGCATGTTAGCAGTGTCAGGTGTGCAAACATGATTCACAAGATAAAGCCAGAGATTTCAAATAGGAATCCATAGTGTTAAAAGCATACTGACCTGTTGCAGTCTTTCTGAGTTCTTAGCAACAGAATAATTGCTCCATTATTTTTCTATAGTCAAAAATCAAAGTGAAAGTTTTCCAATGGGTGCCTTGAATCTAAAGAAATTGAGAACCACTGATTTACATTTTTGGAATGTTTAAATTTTATTGCGTGAATTTCAATAATGCCAATTTAGTACTGATATTCACAAACTGTGAATAATGTATCATACAAAACTGGACGTGTGTCATTGTATATTTTACTTAAAGCACGATTGGTATGCCTAAGAGCAATGAAAAAATTTAGATGACATCATTTTCACTATTGCTATTCTGGATGTTTTGTTTGTGTAGCTGTTGGACAAATTAAAAGATCGCTGGATACACACTGGCTTATGGAGTAATCTGGAGATGGTTAAGACGGTCATTGCAGAGCCTCAAGGAGGAGACAAGGGTGACTTTGATGAATTGCTGAAAATATACTATGATGCAATAAAGCATAAAGGCGGAAAAGGTATGACCACCAGTAGAGAAGAGTAAGGTTATTTGGGCCAGCTGCCAGCATTAAACTCTGTCCATCATATGTTGGCTTGATGCCCTCAATCAACGAGCATAGCAGACTGCCTCAAAGATACATCCCTGGCAAGTGCCCTCAACATCTCCTTCTCATGCTACACTCACACTTTTAACTCTCTCGAAGAATTTAGTAAAACTTAGTTTTGCTAATTGATGATTTCTCTCTCAAATGATTGCTAAATCCTCCTTTTCTTTGCTTCAAGATGGAGCACTCCTCATGGCTGTATGCAGAGGGAAAGTTAGTGAAGGCCTGGATTTCTCTGATGAAAATGCCCGTGCTGTTATAACTATAGGTATCCCATTTCCAAACGTGAAGGACCTCCAGGTAAGACATCAACATTTACCCCAAAATGTTGTGACTTAAATTTTGCTATATTTAAAATACTTCCTCATCTACAGAATACTGTATAATCAGATATTTTGCCAGTTCTTACCTGATCTCATTTTGAATTACTCAGAATGCCTTCTACCCAGAAAAATGGAGTTTGGTTGGTGTCTGCTTGTTAATTGTAATACTAGTTTATCTCTACCTACAGTAAACTTACTGTAAGCCATTGTCTGAACATGCCTAATGAAAGTCATAGTGCTGTCAAAGTTGCTCTTTGGTCCTGTTCTGTCAGCTACAATACATTATTTCTCCTCTTATTTCCAAACTTATCTAAATAGCTTCTCAGCTATAGTGAGGTACTTAGTAGGTTGATCCCAGTGTAAATGAGAGGAAGAGATTTCAAAAGTTTAGTTTTGATGCTGTGTTCTGTGGAAAATAATTTAATGGATATAAATTTACATAAGAACATTAAGATGAAAAGTAAGTTGAGAAGCAAAGGGGATTGCAATATAAAATGGTAACCTACTGGGGAGGTGAGGTATTTTCACATATTCTTTTATTGTTGGTCGCTGTAATTCCCTTCTTTAATCCCCATTGCCTCCTTCAATATAGCTATATGTATAACACTTTCCATTTAGCCTGGGAGTAGAACAGTAAACCTTTTCCAAGGCTAATGTTGCTCTTTAGCTTGCTGCTCTGAGGTGTGAAATTATGACATGAAATAACCTCTTCCTGGAAACTGAGAGCATTGCTTTTTTGATGATTCAAGCTTTAGCTGACTTGAGGCAAAGCTCTTAAAGTAACTTCTGAATGTAGCAATCCAGAGTGCCTAGAATTAACTAAATTTCAGGGTTGTCTTGTATCTTTCATATGATCTGGGTAGAATGTCAACACTTTACTCTCACAAGTACCTTCATTTACTTCAGTGGGACTATTCTTGTGAGTAATTGCTCCTTGGTACAAGAAAGAGGTTCACAAAAAGGCACACTGTCTTTTGGAAAATATAAAGTACGAATGAATAATGCACTGAGTTGTTTTGAGAGACTGGCTTGCAAGTATATGTCCATACAAAAACAAAGTAGGGATACAAACTGATACAAGTTTTTTTGGGGTGTTTTGTACTCTTGGGCTAGGGGCAGAAATTACACATAAACTGGTATAAGTGATTGGAAACAAGTTCATATCTGTAACATAACAGAAGTTCAGTGCACATAAGCCGCTTTCGAAATGGCCGAAACTGGTTTAAGGTAAACCTGGATGGATCAGGCTTCAGTGATTTAGGTTAAATCGGTTTATTGCACTTCTGTCCCAGATCCCCTCGAGATTCAAGTTTAACTCAGTTTCCTGGCATCCCAGGATGCTTTGCACCTCCCCTGCAACACCCCCCACCCCCACAGGGTGGGCAGGCTAGGCTTGGCCCAAGCTGTCTGCTCCAGCCGGCAGCAAGCCATGCTCTAGTGCCCCCTGGCTTTTGGCTTGGGCCACTGCAGGCGCGTGGCTGCATTTCCAGAGTCAAAAGTGCCAAAAGTGAATGTCTGTTCACTTGCTTATCTGTTCAATCTATGCAGTTTAGACTAACCTGCAAGGACTGAATCAATTCAGCCTCAGGCTTTTTGACAGTCTATGCTTAGCCTTGTACTTTGTAACCATGATCAGTATTGCAATCCGTTTTGGAGTTGGGAACAGTCAGTGAGAAGGTAAGTGCTCCTGAAGATGAGGGGCTTAGTTGTGCTGAGAAAACTGTAGCCTAGTGCAGTCTGGAGCCATGGAAGCTTTATCCTACAACTGTCAGGGAGTCTTAGTTGTAAATTTCAGTGCCTGTGTTGTTATAGCTTTGTTTTACTACTAATCAAATTCACTGAGAGACCTGGCCCTAAGTTCGTGCTCAGACATTCCCCCCTGCAAATTTGGTCCCTAAAAAACTCCCCCAAAGAGATGGAGAATTCAGTTGGCAGACTAAATACCAGGGTAGTCAAGTGCTGCATTTAATGACCATCTAAGTAAATGTCTTGTAGCAGGGGTAGCCAACCAGAAGCACATGTACCACAAGTGGCACAAGCAGCTTTTGTGTGGCATGCAGCAGATCAGGAAGGGGACAAGCAGCACAGTGGCTAATAAGGCAGGAAGCAGAAAGCAGAGCAGCAGATTGGGCTGGGGAAAGGGACCAGAGTAGCACCCAGGGAGCATATAGATCTGATTTGTGGCACACCTGCCAAAAAGGTTGGCCCCCACTGTCATACAACTTGCTGTAGAAATAGGTATCTTGTGAGAGTGAATTTCAAATGTATGGATTTGCCACTGAGGGTGCCCTTTCTTTGGCCTGAAATTCTACCAATTCTCATACCTTTTCTTTAGATTAACAAGTACATTAAACGTGCCCTGTTGCCTGTCACAGGGTGTACAAAAATCCCTTTGAATCCATATATCAGATTCTCTTTCCTATCAACTATAGCTCTTGTAAACTTGCTTTTATCTCTGAAAAACACAAAACTCTTGAGACATCCTGCAGTATAAACTTCACAAGTTGCCTCCTGTGCAAGGTAAATCCCAGATGACTGCATCACTAACATTAAACATTTGATAACGTAAAGCTAATAACAATTTTTCAGCATAAAGAGACTGCAAAGCAGATCTACCAAAATGTTTCCAAAGTGCCTGTCTTCTGAAGCCATTTCTTCCACTCTTCAGTTGGGTAACAGCTGCTAATCTTAGGATTGGAAACTTAAACATAGTGTTTCAGTAAATAGAGTATGTGATTACTGTTTTTTTATTTAAAGAAAAAACAACATATGGCCCTTTTGCAATGACAGAACTGGTGTGTTGTCCTTACCTGCAATGTGATATCTTGCTATTGACACTTTATAAGTCTAATAATTTAAGCTTATTCACCACCTCTCAGCTCACGTCATTGGAAGCATTTTTCCTTCACCGCTGTAATTGCTTTATGGATGTCTAATTTACACCTACAAAGTGTAAAGTGACCATATTCCCAGGTTTATCAGGAGACTCTTGGTTTTTCATATGATATCATAGCATTTTGAGAACATTTCAGAGTACCTGAGATGTCTCAGTTTTTCATTTCATCAGTCAGGATTTCTTTTAACAACAGAGTTAAAATTGTATACATCTGAGCAGAATTTGCTCTTAGTTTACCAGGACCAAACAGTCCTGTGGAACAAGTATTCAGTATGATGAAAAGTGTTTGGACTAGAGAGAAAAGTCAAGAGTGCAGAACAGCTTTGCTATTGTCTTTTGTTTAAAGCAATATTAATGGAATATTGAGTTTTTCACGATAAACTTATTTAGTATGATAAGTTACTGGAAAAAAAATCCCCCATTTCAAGAAACACACACTTGTAGCTGTTGAGTGAGAAACTGGCAGTAGTAACACTGCACACATTTAAAAATGTACTTTTATCTTTTGTGCAACTACTTTGGGACTCTAAACAAGTAACCCCCAACCTTTCCGAAGTTTTAACTGGAAAATATGGTCATTTTAACAAAGCGGCATCTTCTGACTGTGGATGCAAGTCCTCTGAAATAAGGTCATTGTCTTAAACACAAAATCAGTGTCGTCCTTGAGGTTAATTTTCTGTTGAACAATTTCTGCCTTCACGTCGAGGCATAAGGGTCAAGTGGAAAAGTATTAACATCTATATGGCTGGTTACTGATTGAATGAATGCGGATGCCGTTTAAGGGAACTCAACGGCAAATGTACCAGAGACTCCTCTCTACATGTATAAATTCCAATCTGTTTAGTCCCCTGCGATTCTAGAATCTGACATCTGAATAAAGAAAATATTCAGGCTGATTAGTAAAATTATTTTCTGGTATTCTCCATGTGCCAACTCCACAGTTACTCAATTGTAAGTACATTTTTTCCCCCAGTAGTAACAGCCTCCCCTTTTTGCTTTCCTTTATTTTATTAAGAACCTTTCAGATTTGCCTCAAACTGCTATAGAGACCTAACAACCAAAATGAAGTATCACATCATAAACAAATCCTCGAACTGCCAGACACTGGTTATAAGCCAGCCAAATCAAACAAGGCTGTCGTGAGTTTTGACTTGAAAGCCAAAACTGACTCAGCTTCTTTAGTTTTAGGGATGCATTCTGTGCTTATATGCATAACCAAAGACTTCTTTGTTGCCCAAAATGTGTGTGCAGTTACAGCCTGGGTAGAAAAAAACGCATCCTATAAGGACTAGTAAGATTATATTAGTGGCGCCTGCTAGTGCAATGTTCGTTCAGTGTTTCTAGCTTCTTTTTTTTTTTGAGGCTCTTCTCAGCCACAACATTTTCTTTCTGGCTGAAACTTGACACACGGTATTTTATTCTCACAGTTTACCAACATGAGAGAGAGAAGTCTAGGTCTCATTTTAAAGTTTGAAAAGTATTGTTCGAAGAGACCTTTATGTACTTAAGTCATGCTTTGTAAAGATTTATTGTATAGCGTGGTTGGAATCCCCCTGCGGCCCTTACAGTAGGTGACCTCCAAAAAGTGAGTGATTTCATATTCTGAATGGTATATGATACTAATGGTTGGGTCCAGGATGAATTATGGCCCCTATGCTTACAGTAGTAGTTTTTGCTTTAATACTTCAACCAGATTTGAAATCTAATCTGAACCCAGACAATGCAGATGGTTACTGTTAACTAAATAACAAAAATCAATATTACTAAGGTTTACTGCTGGGTTTTTTGGGGTTTTTTTCCTCTTAAAAGTTGGACTGAAAAAAACTTTAAATTTTTAAGCAAGGGTAAAACCACTCCCTGCCAAACTGCAAACAAGCTGAAACTGTAAGTGCATATATTTAGATTTGCCAATGCACAAAGCACTGCAGTGATCAATTCTAAATGAGAGAAGGGCATGCACCAGTCTCTTAGCATCAGATCTGAAGAGCTGACTTGTGGATGGCAGCACTCCTAGGGTAATCCTGGATGAGCTGGTTATTATTGTACACATGTGGTACAACAGACAGCTTGGGCTCAAAGTG